AGCGTTAACCGCTTGTGTCTGATCCCCGCAGAGAGGATCGCCGCGCGCAGCCGGAGCTGATTAGGCCCGTCGGGGTCTTCTAGCACTGTTATTTGTTGGAAAAAAAATCTGGTCGTTAAAATAATAATATGCGCCTTCAAAAAGCTTGTTAATAAGTTTCAAGGTTTTTGTTTGTTTGTTGTTGTTTGTTTGTTTCCATCTGGAAGCAAGATTTTCTCACCAGAAGCAAAATTTTAGCAGCTGCTACTATTGAGTCTTTGGGTTTTGTTTTCTTTGCTTTTCATTAAGGTTCAATGACTTTTGTAAAAATAACCTGTGGCTTATAAATCCTGCACCTCGCAAATCCTTCTTTTCAGCTTGTTTGGTACATTTATGTGATATAGTTCATCTTTAATTAAAGGGTATAACAACTTTGTTTTGTGTAGTAACGATGTTTGTAATAAAAGCAGTACTGAGCTACTTAAATTTAAGCACTGCAAAAAAATCTTAAAAATGCTTTATGCTAGACATTAAGCAAGCACTTGACAGATCCTTCTTTCTAAAGAGCTCAGCGTTAATCTGCTTTCCAGCTTCTAAATAGAGAGCTTCATCATCACAGCTCACAAAACATGGGCTTGAGTGAATCTCCCACTTGTAGTTACAAAGGCAGCTGAGAGAGATTTTAGTCCTGTGAGAAACTATAGTAATCTAAAGGCTATGTGAAATTTAACTGTCTTCCTGACTGGTCTTCTAAGGGCCCTTTGAGCTTTTGGGGCTGTGAGGTGGATCCAGTTTGTGCAACTTACATTTTCCATGTATATATTTGGAATTTTCACTAGTTTGGCTAAAGTTGCAGTTGAAAGCTGAGTCACAACTGTATGTTGAATCTTTGGGTTTGTTTAGAATTAGCTAGTATTTTTCTTTAACAAAGGAGAGCAAAAAGCAGCTAATTAAAGGAGATGTGGAAAACTGTTTTCCATCCACTTTTCAGGAATTCTTGGGCATTTTGTAGTAAATGACGTGCATTTCATTTCTGCTGCAAATAAACAAATATGTATTGAAACATTTCCTCCTGTCAGTATACTGAATCATGCAGCAGTCCAGGTTGGAACGGACTTCTGGAAGTCACCTAGTGCAGCTTGCTACTCAGAGCAGGTCAGACCTGAAACTGAGTGAGTTTGCAATAGCCCTTGTTCAGCTGAGTTCTGAAAACATTTAAGTGTGGAGATTTTACGCTCTCCCAGGGCAGCTGTTCCTGTACATAACTATCCTCACTGGGAAGAATGCTGTTTCTTAGATGCAACTTCATTTCCCCTGTTGCAACTTGCAGCTGTTGTTTCTTGTCCTTTCACAGTGCGTCTTTGAGAACTGGTCTTTGTCCTTTGTAAAATAACCTCCAGAAATAGAAAGCAGCTCTCAGTTTTCCCCCATCCTCTTTCCCCTATCCCTCCTCACCCAGCCTAAACAAACCCAGCTCACTCAGCTTTTCCCTGTACATCATGTGCTCTAGCTATCTAAACATCTTAGATAGTCCCTTGGACTTGCTCTTGTTATTAAAGGGATCCAAAATTGGCTATAATGGTTCAAATGCAGCCTTTGGATTGCAGAGTAGAGTGGATTGATCCCTGCAGTTAGCTAACATGACTGCAAAGGTGTATTGTTAAACTTCATGTAAGTCCATTTCTTCCAGGAGTGTGCTTGAGTACCGGCAACTTCACTCATATCATCTATTACGTAAAATGCACTGCTTTCTGTAGAAAGCTTGCTTTGGAATAGGTGTCTTCCAAGCAATTACTGTGGCTACAAAATAGTCAGTCTTTCTGACATGAATAAAACACAGTTACAGCCACAATAAAATTTACGCTTTGCTCATTCCAAAGTATCCTTGATCTGTCCCATCCTTTCAGCAAGCATTCTTGTGAATTAAAAATTCCATGGGATTATGCAGGATTTTTTTTTCTCCTAGTCCTCTGTAATGCATGCATTTCTAACAAGTAATGCCTTATTACATATTTCATAAGTGTCTGTTAATTTTATGTGCTTGCTAATTTCATTTTATTTACATATGAACAGCATATACCTTCTTCAATTGTCATGCTTGGCATGTGTGCTATATACCTTCTACCTCTATTATCTGAAAATTTAATCTTATTTCTAGACTATCCAAAAATAGATGGCTCTGAGCACACAGTTTGTTCTGGTTTTTGTGCGTGATTTGGTCCATTTTGTATATGCCACAAACAGAGCAAAAAAGACATTAGATTAGTTCGTTAATTAGATTAACTAGATTAATTTAGATTTAAAACATCTCTAACAATCCATACAAGGTGTTTATCTAAAAATTGCTTCTGATAACAAAGCCCAAGACTTGAGATTTTTAACATCTGCTTCAGCAACCAGACAAGCCAATGAAATGTCCAGTCAAGCCTCTAGCTGCATCCTTCTGAAAACTTCCTCCTACAGTTAGGAATACCGTGTCATTTTATCTGCTATTCAAGTTGTAGTCCCAAGTATTTCTGTTAGACTTTTTTTCTTCTAGTTTGTTTAATAACTTACTGATCAAAACACTTTCACCAATTTTATTTGGTGAGAAGAGAGGGGATGTCATTTGGTCTTCGCAAAACTATTGTCTATTTTAAGTGTTGTTTTATGCTGGGAGAAACTGGGAATAGAATGAATGAAATAGGTAGAATGATCTATGCTATTGTTAAGAGTTTTTTATTGATGGAAAAGTATGTAGAGCTTTATCTTCCCAGATTAGTTACATTCAGCTTTCTTCTTTTCATACAGGAATGAACTTTCAGTAGACAAAACTAAAAGGAAAAAAAGAAGAGAACTGACAGAAGAACAGAAGCAGGAAATTAAAGATGCCTTTGAGTTGTTTGATACAGACAAAGATAGAGCAATAAATTATCATGAATTAAAGGTAAAAGAAGTACTTAGTCTAACCTTCTGGCTTCACAGTTAGGCTTTATCAATTAATTCAAGAATTACTTGAAAGAAGAAATGAGAATTTCTTACTTTACCTTACTTGTTATAGACATGTCTTTGTCTTAAGTGTACAGAGGTTGTCTTTTAATTTCAGAGTTCAGGTATTTTATGTTTGTTGGAAGCTACAGTGTGTGGAAGCTACAGTTACTATTTGGATATGTAGATTGTTAATGCACTTTGTCTGATTGCAGTATGCTTTCCATTCCCGACCATTTGGATTATTTGCAAAGATGTTCTCTCAGCTGCTGGATTATCTTTGGCCCTGAAACAGGCAACACTGTGGAAGAGCAGAGGTGTATAAAATTACAGAATACCTTCTTTCATAAGAAGTTAGGACATAGCATAGATTAGTATGCCCAGTATATCTCAGAGGATTGTGGTTTTCTGTTGATCATTTAGCCTATATTCATATGTTTGCAAACAAACTAGTGCATGCAGAGATTTCTCTCTCTTTACCATCCCAGTTGAAATGGGAAAGCTAAGGATGTACTCCTAACCTGATACAAAAGTAAAAGATGGACTGGCTTATGTTATCCTAAAGGTATCAGTGGGGAAGTAAAGTTAGGTAACGTGTAAGGTGACTAGTAAACCCATGAACAAGCATGCCCTCATTATGAATATTAAAGAAGAATAGGTTGAAGAATGTTTTCAATGTTATCGTATTGAAAAAAAGACAAGACTTCCTGTTAGAATGACTATTGAAATGCTTGAAGTTTTTTTGAAAATGTTTAAAAAAAAAAAAGCCCTATTTGTGTTCAGAAGCATTTGGTCCATCTTAAAAAAAATAAATTGAATTTTCAGGGTTTTTATGTTCTCTTATTCTAACTTGAGGCTGTAGTTGCTAATACTGCTTTAGATGATTTTATATCCAAAACTTTTCCTGCTATTTATTTTTATTTATTTTACTTATTAATATCTCTATCTCACTGATGTGCACATTTTTTAATTGAGTAATAAGATACTTAACACAAAGAAAAATATCTGATCTATTTTAATATTCACATATTGTTGTACTTCTGTTTTATTCCAAAAGGTGGCAATGAGAGCCTTGGGTTTTGATGTGAAAAAAGCTGATGTACTGAAAATACTTAAAGATTATGATCGAGAAGCAACAGGCAAAATCACCTTTGATGATTTTAATGAAGTTGGTATGTGTTTGGTTGTGTATTTTGAGGGAAAAGTGGATAGAGAAGAAATACTTTGCATGCTTTTTCAATTCTGTAGTACTATTTAGAAATTTGAAATTTCATTCCGTGTTTTTCTTAATGGAAGGGAATAGAGTAGAAAGGTTTTTTGCATACTGAATATGCAGTTGATATGTGAAACTGAATCATAGGATCAGTATGAAAGGAGCTAGAGTATATGCAGTCCTAATCTATTTCAAATTTCTGAAAATGAAAAAAACTTTAATTTACAGATGTAGATATTCTTGTGCTAGTTTTGAATATTATAGGTTTCTCCTCCTTGTTGTGGAAAAAGTAGTTGGAATTGAATTTCATGAAAGAGGTTACACAAAGACAAACTGTAAACACTGCACATGTAATAAAGATAAGAGAAGCTGAAACAGGTATTAAAATAATGGATTTTCTGCTTTTGATAAAATCAACAAATACTTTCACAAACAACAAATTTTATTAACAATGGAATTTAATTAGGCTGTTTTGATGTAAAATTTTTGTATTTTTCAATTTTTAACATATTTTCAGTATGTAGTGATTGCAGAATTTGTAAATATTCAGGATTAAATTTCAGTATTTTTTTGTTTGTTACATATAATTTATACTTCTGTGTACAATTTTCTATTTACAAAAATATAAGTTGTGATTCTTTTCAGGGACATTGTGGCTTTATTTCTCTATTTTACTATTGCATTCCATGTGTTTAAGGTATTAGATGTCTGTGAAATTTCAGAAAAGTCAGTATTGGTCAGATGTAGTTGCTCTTGGCTATGAAAAGTAATCCAGTTAATGTCACAAATCAATTACTGATTGAAACATGTTGCAAGTTTTAAAGCTAAACAGGTAACGATTGGAGACAATACTTTGGTAATGACAGAAAACAAGGTGTCTTAAATGTGTTTTTAAATGTGCAGAAGAAGACTGCAAGTGAACCCTGTCATTGCAGCCAATTTAAAGCAGCAAAGCTAAAAGAGCTTGGCAATTCATCTAGATGTAATTATTTTCATTTGGGTATTATTTTTGGCCTATGACAGACTGGAAATGTTCCATCTGGGGGGCTTGGGGGAATAAAACTTGTCTCACCTATTTGCTATTAGAAGGGTTTTCTTTTCTCTTACAAATCCTTGTAGTCAATCCTGTCATTGTTAGTTAGTTCCTTTTTCTGGCCTAGCTCTCAGGATAGGTAGTCAATAAGTGCTGTGCAAAACTAGGAAAATTCCTACAGGAAAGCACAGCTTTCACTATGAGAAGGTAATGTAATTGAATCTGTCCCAAAACTTGTGTCAGATCTCTGTGCATCTATGACATGATACACAATAAAATACAGAAAGATCAGGGAGTCAGAGAAGATAGGTTGCAGAAAAAAATAGTTCTGAAGAGCTGGTTAAATATTCTGAAATAGTTGTTGAGCCATCAGTTTTCCATGGTTTAATTTATGAAAAGGTCCAACTATTGTTCATGCCGTCCACTAATTGTCTTATCTGTACAAATGCTACTTATGCTTTTAAATAGAGGAATGGTCCTTGTGAAATATATAAAGATGCAGTAGTATTTCTGTCTTGTTTTGTAGAGTCCCATCACAGAATATTTAGAAACATAGTATTTTATGACTGTTCAGATAATGTTGCAGTTATCTTTTTGCCCTAATAAGTAAAATTTTTAAGTGATGTGTGGTGTCATTAATAGATAGTTGTTTTAAATGAAAATATTTGAATTTAATCTGAAGGGTTTATACATATATTTAAACTTCATTGATATAGTGAGCATATATGAGCTAGAATTTATTTTTTTCTGTCAAGTGCACTAAACCAAGGAGGGCATCCCATCTGCAAACACTTGCAGATTCCAAGTGATTCCTAATGCCAGAGGCAGCATGGATGAGGCTATTTATGACTTCCATCAAGCCATTAAAAGTCTTGTAATACAAGACTAACAACAGGTACAAAGATGTGAGGATGTTTACAGTTGGTTCCAGAAATGTCTGAAATAGTTATCAATAAAATATTTTTATATGGCAAGCTATTTAGTCTGCCTTTACTGTGACAGAAGTTGACAAATGGATTTGATATAAGAAATAATTAGGACTACTGAGTCCTTCCACAGTTAACATTTTGCTTTTTGCAGTAGTGTCCTTTTGATAACCCATGTGCTTTTTTTTTCTTTTGCAGTGAAGTTTTGTATCTAAAATAGAGGGTTATTATGAGCGCTTTTCATTGCTCAGTGTTGTTCCTTTATTTTCTGCAATCAAAATTCTATCAAATCATAACATTTAAAGTCAACAGATGTATGTATCTGCATCTGTCAGAGTTGATTTTTTTGGTTGTGAGTTGTATGTTTGGAACAGACTGGGAGCACATGCATTCAGTTCATTTTGGAAAGTGTTTATCAAAAGCATGAGTATGTCTGAATTATGACATAGGCTTTGACTGTAGTTGGGGTGTCCCAGAGAGATATGTGTCTTATGGAAAGAGAAGTGAAAAAGGCCAAATAGCAGCCACAACAGTGTTGAGTAAAAAATGAAGAGTAAATCAAATTTAAAGTGTTCACTTTGTACTACTTTTTTTCTGTTAATGTCATTCTCAGTTTATTCTTCTAGTCTGACTTTGTTTTGTTTTTTCCTTACAGTGACAGACTGGATATTGGACAGAGATCCACAAGAGGAAATACTCAAGGCATTCAAACTATTTGACGATGATGACTCTGGTAAAATAAGTCTGAGAAACCTGCGCAGGGTTGCAAGAGAACTTGGTGAAAATATGACTGATGAAGAATTGAGGGCTATGATTGAAGAATTTGATAAGGATGGAGATGGAGAAAGTAAGTATTAAGAGTTAAAATCCAATATAGTCTGTTTCTGATTTTCTCCCCATTTTAAATGGGGGTCTTAGTCTGAAAATGACTGAAATCTTCAGCATTATCCTCTTTGGTTTTCCTCTGAATGATTTCAGATCAAGCTTGATTTAGCTGTCAAAGAATGGAGCTTGTTACTTTTAATAGTTGCTAGTCCCGGAAATATATTTTGGAGTCTAAAAATCCACTTGTGTTCTCTGTCCTTAAATTCACGAGTGACTCCCATTCAGCCTGCTGCTGTTGAAAGTAGTAAAAGTGTAGCTGAAGGAAGTAAATTGGTTCTTGGGCAATTCAATTGATTTCTAACTACACTGCATTTTTTTCCATTTAAATTAAGAAGGCTAAATGGCTAAGTGTCTCATTTGTGGGATCATGTAGTCCAATGTTTCTCAACTACTAATATGCCATTGCTGTGGCTTCTGTATGTTACTGAGGCGGGGAGTATTGAGCTAGTAAATTATGCTGGATTTACCTTGGGCCTACGCAAGATCACTTTGGATGGGTTTTGGCCATGCTTTTGGAGATAAGAGTGATTAAAAAGCAAACAAAACAAAAACCTGTGTTTATGCCAGAAAGCTTAATACTTGTATTGCTTTAGGGCAGTGCTGCTCCCCTGTGTTGTACCTGTGATGGCTTTTATTGTGCACTTCTGGTTTTCCCAGCTAAACCGGTCAGCTGTACTGTTCATAGGTCTCTCTAAAATAAAAGTATTTTTGGAATATTTATACCTTGGAGGTCTGTTTTTAGAAACTCCAGGGCGTAGGTTCTTGTAGCTTTTGTCTTTAGTGAGCCTATCTATAGGAAATATGATCTAGCATTAGAGGTCTCAGATTTTGACATGGAACTAGAAAGAAGGCTTCACTGAAATAACATTCTCCCATATGTCTCCAGAGTCAAAGTCAATATTTACATCATATTAAGTGGGATGATAGTTACCTATTTCGTGATTGTGTATGTCATAGCATTGAGGGAATCTGAAACTAGGAAAGACAGGCATGTGAAACTAGGGGAGACTGACATGCACAACGAACTCAAAAGCAAACTTTCAAATACATAGTAAGTCCGAGAGGATTGCCTGGGTAACATTGTAACATTGTATTTCCATTCTACTTTGCTATATTATTGAACAAAGTTATCAAGATATTTTGGGGAGGATGTTTGGCTTTATGGCACTCAACTTTCTTTGGCTTCTAGTTACTGGAACTGGCTATGGAATATTTCTGAAACAATCTATAGAATATATATCAAAAAGAGATTGGTTGGTGTGAACACTGCAAGCATACCTATTTTTTTTTCCTTTTTCCTCATTTGTTTCCGTTTCTTATTAAGCAGCTAGCTGACAGTCAGTCTCAATGGGTTACTTTGGGAAGGAAGATATTTTCTTTACTTTCTGTATCTTTCAGTAGTCCATCATGTAATTAGGCAACCTCTGAGAGAACCTCCATCTTAATCCATTATTTTTTCTATGTACTGGAAAAATTAAAAGGCCTCAATACTTTGTGGAAATGTCTTTCATACTACTTCCACAGAGTTGTTTTACTATGAACACATTCTTTCTCTCATCTCAAGGTAGAAGAAATTCAAAATAGATAAGCTCACAGTTTGGCTACCTGCATTTTAAAATTGTTCTGTAAGTTGAACGTGCAGGTCAGGGTCGGGGGGAGGGAAACAAGTCAGGAGGTAAAGATTATTCATTCTATCTCTTTGATAATACCCAAAATATGATTCTCCTCTGAGTTTGATAGGACATCCTCAGGTGCTGGAAAGATACCAAGCTCAACTTCTGTGCAGAAAGAGAAGTGTAGTGTCCTCTGAATACCAGGCTTGATTGATTACAGCAAGCAAATATTTTTGCATCTAAAAGTTATAGTTAATAATATATCACTTTCATTGTGATATGTATTTTTTCATGCATTCTGGTACTTAATGCTCTGCTTTGAGGTTTATGGCTGAAAAGATAAAAGGAATGCAACACTTGCATTTTATCCCATCTTGTGTCTAAAATGTGCCTTCTGGTCAGTAATATCCTAGAGTGGTAACGCAGAAATGGCCAGAATGCTGTGACATTCCTTTGGTTCTTCATACTACACTGACACACGGAGAGCACGACACACCGGCAGAGTTGCGCACGGAGGAGGACGTTGTGTCATGGCCATTGGGACTGCTGCGGGACTCAGCTTCCCGCACAGCAGGCCCTCCTTGAGGATTGCATGGGGAAGAGATGTATAAAGTCACTTCAGGATTTTCGGGATTCTGAAAAGGTGGAAATAAGCTGTAATTGTTTACAGGCCATGAGAGTAGTTAAGCACTGGAACCTGGGAGGTATTCAGAGCTTCACTAGCAAGAGCCTGAGCAATCTAGTTTAGTTGACCCTGCTTTGAGCAAGACATTTGGGCTATGATTTGAGGATTATTGGATTCAGTAACTTGAAGAGTATTTAAAATCACAGGAATAATGTATTTTTTAGTATGGAGTAATGCATTTGTTAACTTTTAATAGGCTTAGCATATTCACAGACATCGGTTGTATAAACGTAGGATTAAAGGAAATGCAAAACTAACTCTGCTAAATACTGATGATGGTGTATATTTGCTTTGATTTGTAGATATGGGAAATTAAGAATCATATATAAGACTCAGTAAAGTCTAGCAAATGGTGACTTCAAAAGCAACAATAGAGGAGAATTTTTGAAAAATGCAGGAACATAGTCTCAACTGCACGTAGCAACTTGTTCCTCTTCCCTGAAACCTTGCTACTTGAGGTCTAGCATTGGCATGTTGTTATCACCAATTTTGTATTAACAATTTCAGGTGGCTTATGAAGCCAGGCAGTAGCGTATGTACAGTTTTCTGTAAGTATGATGGCATAGAGCTGTTAAAAGCGTTGCCTCCGGCCACAGTCCTGGTGTACTGACCATGTGTGTGTGTCTATATATAAAACGAGGGGTAGCTGTATGTATGATTTTTTTACTCTTCTAGATTAAGATGTATTTCCTAATTTTTAAGAATTAATATTATACATGTGCTTTGGGACAGGGGAGGGAATACCATCTCCCAAATTGTTTTCATTACACCTATTTCACTTATGAATCACACAGAACAATTAGACCACAAGGCTGGTTGTAGTGTCAGTTGTTTGACCTAGACAAGTAAGTAATATCACTGCTAAAGGAAAGTGATGCTTTTACTCTTTAATTCTTAGTGGCTTTGCCAGGTATTTGACTTAATTATTACATTTTAGGGAGTAGCTAGATTATTTGGTCACTTAAGGATCTTGCCAGATATGTGTATGGCTACATCTAATTTCTTTTCCTGCAACCAAAATGATTTTCATCTGTGAATTTGATTATGGTGGCTACTGAAAAGCTACCTTGGACTTCAGATATATCCTTAAGATAACAACCATCAAGAAAGGTCATGTATGCCAAGAGTATCCCTCTCTTCATCACATAAAGAGTGAAATTGGAAATTATCTTATTTAAGATAAACTGTAAGTATTTTTATGCAATTGACTGATTTCAATATGTAATCTTTTTTATCTGCAAATTTTTGTGTATAACACTTAAAATAGTTTTATATATGAAGAAATGAAAATATTTCGTAATATGGTATTTAGTGTGCTTTTTGACCAGTATAAAACGAAAAGCTTATGTACTACTTTATGCAGAAAAAAATCTCTAATCAATTATTTCAAAGTCTGGAAAATTTTCATACTTCTGATTTTCACTGTAACTGATCAAGAATTGCATTCTCCCTGAACATAAAGAATTAAAGAGGCAAAATGGGCAAGCAAATGTCTGTTTTGTTTTCTGAAGTGTCCTCTTTTTCCTGCCTACAACCTTCAGTTTATCTTTGTTATAAATTCTGGCTTGTGATCCAGATATATTACCACTTCTTGATTGGTGCAACTGTGTCTCAGCTCTTTCATACCTTCTCAGGAGGTACTTTTTATTTTAATGCTAATCCTCATCATAATTTTGATGATTTACGTTAATCATTGCTAACTACTATATTCTATGAACAAAAAAATGCATTCAAATAAAATTAAGATACCAGTATATAAGGGAGAAATCACAGTATTGTAATTATTTGAACTCAAATCGTTAAAAATTTAGGAAGTATAGAATAATGATTATATCTGAAAAAAATATTGGGCAAAGCTTTGGAAATGCTTTTCAAGGTCTTTTTAAAGCCTTTTTAGTATGGTTAAATTTGTTGAATTTTCTTTCAACTATAAATGTAATACTTAATTTTCAGGGTTTTATTTAGCAATAATTTGGGTACAAGGCTGGGACAAATAACTGTCAGAATTCTGCATACATGTATGGCCATGTCTGTATCACTGACTCATTCTAACTAATCCCCGTCACAGTAATTAGTGGCAGGCAGAGCACGCTCACTGGTTAAATCTACTGCAGTGGCTCTGTTTTAACATATGAGTAAGGTCAATAGCTCAGGTATAAGTACAGTAAAAAATAATTAATGACTGCTAATTAATTTATTTTTATGGCTTAATTTCTGCAACTACATTTGCGTAAAATGTCAGTTAATTGTAACTGAAAAATGAAGAAAGTTCAGAGAGGAGGGAAAAAAAAGCCTGTCAAAAGTCCATTTTAATTCTAACTAATTGTTACTAATAACATTAAAAATCCTATTTTATTTAGCAAAGTGTGTTTGGGAGGTAGAGGGATACCGTGGGATTTTTTTAGACACAAAGATACGAATCATTATTTTAAGAACAAAATAGACTATTACTATAACTTACGTTATGACATTCTTGCTACAGAGAGGCATAAAGAATTTCAAAAGTGACCAGTTTTAATTTTCTTTTAACCTTTTGAAAAAATAGTTAGAATCATAAACAAAGTATAACAAAGTATATTTTGTTTAGCCATAACCTTAAATATTTTTCCTAATGTTTTTCTTCCTTTTTTCCTCTTTTAGTATTTTTTACTTTCATACTTGTACAGAAATAATAGCTTATTATATATGAGCTAAACTCTGGCTTAAGTGCAATGCTTATGTAAGCTTGCATTCTGGCTTTAGTGTTTTACCTTTTTTAAAAAAAAGAGGGGGGGGGGTAGGGAAAAGGGGGTGGGCAGAGTTCTTCAGAAGCAAAAAAAATCCGGACTTGTATTTATAAAATGTAGCTAGCAACTGATCAAACCCCAAGAGTACTAACTGGAAAACCTTTAAGTAAAATGAATAATACAGACATAAATTATTCTATACTTTATGATGGTTTGCTGTTTGTCTAATAATTTTCTCTTTTATTACAGTCAATCAAGAAGAATTCATTGCTATTATGACTGGAGATATTTAACATCATAAGAGAAGAAATTAATTCAACACAAAGAGATGAATCATTGGCAGCTACCTTTAAAACATTTTGTATTTCTGGTCAAATCTGTAGCTGGAGTCATGCAGAAAATTATTTTCTTCATAAGACTAAAAGAAACACAGTTTTTGTGTACTAATACTTTAGTATTTTGTATCATCAAATAATATGACTAGAATAATTGATACATCATTTTAGAGTAAGTAATGATATGTTTTCCAAATGTTTGAGTGCTCATTTGTAAAATAGCTTTGTACAAGATTTCTAAATTAAATCATATTATAAGAATCTTTTGAAGTTGACTGTGTTAGCATTAGCTGTGGCCTTAGTTTTGATATACAAGATTTGACAAATTTCCATTTTAATAAATTGTTCTTTACTGTTACTGCTTGAAAGACACGTTATTTTTGAAGCTCAATCTAAACTGGACTATAAATTCTTCAAAATATGTACGTTTTGTTTCATGTGTAGGTTTGTGCTTCCCATTTTCTCTATTCATGGTAACTTACGTGATCAAGCATTTGCATTTTCATAGTTGAAATATGCTATTGCTGCTGTATGGTGACAGAGTAGAGTCAACTGCATCATGATAAACTGAATCAAAAAAGGTATTAAGTTGTCCTGTTGTCAGCTAGCAAATCTTTTCAGTGTGTGCAGCCCTGGTATCTGTGGAAACAATGTCAACAGTTTATCCTGACCAGATATTCTTCCTCCAGTCCCTAGTTAGGACAAAAGTATTGCATGCAATAAACTCTTAAACCTTAAAAACTCTTGAAGTTAAAAAAAAAAATCACATAGGTAGAGCTTCTTATAGACTTTTTCTGTATTGGTTGTAATTTTTCCTTTTAAATTTAAAATTAATTTCTCCTTTACATATCAGAGAATGTATCTTTAAATCGTGTTTAATCCTTTTTGTTTGTTTGTTTTTGTTGGAAAACAAGCTACTTTTTAACTGTCAGTAATCCTGGAGTATGAACCAGCAAACAAGGAAACAGAACTTGCAATTTACTGCAGACAGAAGTTAAGGCCATCAGGGTTAATAGGTTTTTTTCCCCACACATTCTTTTTCAAGTGTGTATTGTAACATTCCTATCTCTGAAATACTGTGTTGCTTTCTATTAAGCAATCAAAATCATTCATACAGAGGTCATAACAATTCAAAATGAGTCAGAGTAACTGCTTCTCACTGACCAAGTCACACCAGTAGAGAAATCATGTGCAATGTGACCATTGGCTGGGATTTCCTCTCTGGATAATTCTTATACAGAACGAAGTCTTTCAAACAGCCTTTGCTAGGAGGGAGGTAGGAACACTTGTTATGGGCTAGATAACCTTTGTACAAGGCTCTGTAAGCACAGAGCAATGAACTGGAGAGCTCTCAGAAATTGTTCAAGCTACAAGAGCAGCACGCAAGAAAAAAACAAGGAAAGAAGAAACTGGGGTAATAATACTGATATTGTCTCAGGGTTTGTTTTTTTTTCTTTGTATTTGGGAGATTTGTGTTCAAGAACCGTGCTTGTTTTGTGCTGCGAAATGTTGAACTAGCACTTCTTGCAGGTTTGTGTATGGCATGTACTGCTGTTTCTGTTGGCTTTTCTTGCTGCTCACACAGCAGCATTAAACTGTGCTACCTTAGCATTCACAGCTTTAAGATATAAGACCTCAGCTTGCAACTGTGTGCCTAGCCTTAGCATTAACATATGCTTAATTCTCTTTTCAGAGTAGAAAGTGAGTGAGTTGGCATGTTTAGGTTGTTCGGTAGTCATTAGCGCATCTTCCAGAACTACCCTGGCAATGTGTGCATCTTACTTCGTCATGGATAGGTGGGTTAGTGTTAAAATGTCAAAGATTTTAACTGGAGTAACTGGGATGAATTGCTTTCTTTTATTGCTGCTATGAAGGTAGTAATGTCTAGTGCAAATGCAGAAATGACAACTCAGTCAATGTCTTAATCCACTGCAGTAAAATCTACCAGAGCTGTGCTCTCAGAGCCTGCAGTTGTGTTACTTTAACTGTGCCAGTTACTTTGGCATCACTTGTCTAATAAATCCAATATAAATTTGGAGTAGTTTTGAATCTCTGAATGAGTAAAAATCTCACCTCAGAGTACTCTGTATTTCACTGTTACTCTGCTGACTTTGATCTTTTCAGTGCTAAATATGCCATGTCAAACACTTTCGTGTTCTTATTTGTGTAGAAACATCAGCTCATTTCAGTGGCACGACTAAGTCATGAGAAGTTAGAAAATGCCACAGTGAAGGTTGCAGATGCCTCATCACATGGAGACTGTGGCAGCGCAGACACTCCTCGCGGCGGCCTTGGGGATGGGGCTGCGCTCCCCACGCGGGCGGCTGCAGCGAGGCCTGGCTGAGCCGCATGCTCGGAGCTCAGCTCGGAGGCCAAGGACACCAGGAAAACCTGCCTGCAGCAGAGGGGAGGCCAAAGCCCAGGGGAGTTTCCAAGGGGCGGCCGGGCCAAGCAGCCC